GAAGGACTCAAGCAGTGTGCGTGCGCGCGCGCGTGTGCGTGGAAAACCTTTCTTTTTTCTTTCTTTCTTTTTTAATGTTTTTAAAGAAAAAAGACAGCCCCCCCGAAAGCCTCCTGTAAGACTGGCCGCCCGCGTGCGTGAGTCTCTCTCCGTGCCTTCCCACGGAGCACACGCCAGACCCAGAGCGACTCCGCGCCACGTGCGTGGCACGAAACGGGCGCTCAGGAAACACCCGCTTTCGTGAATGAAAAAGTTTGACCTTTAAAAATAAGGCACCCGTGTTACCTAGAATCTTGGCGATTTCCTGTTTGGATGGCCTGTGATTCCAAGGGTGCCTGCGCTTTACAGAGCAGACTGTTCTTGCGCTCAAGGAGGGAGGGCCCCCCGTGACCCCGCTCTGAACTTTTTGCATTTGGCTTGGTGTGAAAGTAGTCCACCCAAGTGAATCACTGCAGGACACAAGGCAGGCCCTCTCCCCGTGTTCTGTGCGTAATTTGTAACTCCCCCACCCCCACCCCATTTTCCTTTTGAGAGACAGGGAGGGGGAGAGGGGGCCTGGACTCCTGGCTCCTCTGTTTAATGACCTGATAGAGGAAGGAGGCTGAGTTTGCCCTAGGCCATCCCACCCTCCTGACTGTTCGGGAAAGTACTTCTGTGCCTTGGTCTGCTTGTCCAGGGAGCAGAGCTTCCCATGCATGTTGATCCTACCCCTTCATCTCCTCGGGTGCGGGAGTCAAGACCTTCAGACACACCTGGACTGGTGGGCTCAGACCAGAGTTCTTCCCACCCGTGGGTGGTTCTGTGGGTGGTTCTTGTGGCCTTTGCCAGCCCCTCATCTGTATATGAGCCTCCTCAAGAGGGTTATTGTGTGGCTTCCATGAGTTAAAAGTGTATAACTTGCTTAGAACAGCCAGCCCCAGCCCAGTGTGGAATGTGTTTGCTAGAAATATGCTTACTCCTTGGATGCTGTGGTACACCTGGGGCAGGGTAGACGGGGTTCATGAGTGCGACAAAAATAGCAAAGTATGGGAAAGAAATATACCAGAAAGGGACCATTTTCAGGATAATAGGATCACCGGCTGCTTTACTCAGCTGGGTACGGTGACAGGCATTTTGGGGGGTTTCTTGAACCGCCTCCTGTTTTTAAAAACCTGGAACCAAATTTTAACTGGTCTCCAGTTTCAGAGAAACTTTTCGTCTTCCGACATCATGGCCAGTGGATGGAGAAGTGGGCATTGAACGGTGTTACTTGTGCAATAACTATGTGGCGAGCTGATTTGCATTTTTCTGCTCTGACAAAGGACACGGGCATGAAGCCATCACGAGTCTCCTTACTTCCGTTCTCCCCCATGCCTGGGGTCATGCTCCCTGAGTGGACTCCTTTGTCTGGCCTCAATTCAGGGAACAATATTTCTAACTCGGTTGGAGCTTATCTAAACAAGTTTTCCCTGCCCTGTAAAGGTCAAGGGCAAAACTGTATGTGGAAGCCAGATATTAAGTATGAATGGGGTTGGGGTGGGAGAGTGGAAATACGAGAGGCAGGATTGGCCGGTGAGATGCCACGCTCCTCGGGGTTTGTCTAGATCTCTCCTTTTCCCTCCCAGAATCGAGCCGTTCCCTTCTGCTCCTGCTCGGACTCTCTACATCTTGGCTCCTGGCTTCCCGGCCGGCCTCATGAACGTCCTGTCAATTCACACCCAAGTTATTCCCAGCTGCTGTTTAAGAGGACGCATCATTCTGTGTGAAGCCTCCCATTGCAAATACACCCCCCCCTTTCCATTTCTCCAGTTCTCCAGTGTTCCCCCGCCTGGAGAATGACCATGGCCTACCCAAGCTCTGGCCACTGCCCTGTTTTCTCTTGCCTGTAAGCTCAGTGCCATGTGCTGTCATGACCCCTCAGAGCTGTTTGCATGCACTCCCATTAAAGCGTTGACCTTTTAGTGTCTAGTTGTTTGCATGGGTTATGGGTTGATTTATGCCCCCCCCCCCCAATTTATATGTTGAAATCCTAACTCTTAGGACCTCAGAATGTGATTTTATTTGGAAATAGGATTGTGGCGGATGTAATTAGTAGAGATGAGGTCATACTGGAATGTAGTGAGTCCTAAATCAAATATGACTGGTGTTTTTATAAAAAGGGGAAATTTGGACACCGACATATGCATATAGGGAGAAGGCCGTGTGAAGATGAAGGCAGAGACCAGGTGATGCTTCTACAAGCCAGGGAACATCAAAGGTTGCCAGCAAACCCCTGGAAACGGGGCAAGAGGCATGCAGTAGATTCTCCCCCATGATCCTCAGAAGAGACCAACCCTGCCGTGCTCTTGACCTTAGACTTCCGGCTTCCAGAATTGTGAGACAGTACATTTCAGTAGTGTCCGTAATGAATTATTTTTTAGAATAATGATCTGAAGGATATATTACAAACTGTTAAAATCTGACAAAGTTGAGTGCTGACTATATGGAGGTTGATTGTACTACTCTGTACTTTTCTGTACACTTACAATATTTCACTAAAAACTACTTGATTTACCTTGTGGCCTCTTCTGGGTTCTTCTATCTTAAAGAGATGGTTGAACTAAAGTGTTGAGCTTTGATGTTAAGGTTAAAAGTCCATACACTCATGTAGCTGATTTCAGATCATGCAATTCTTCTAAGCAGCACCCTGTACATGCTATGTGAGCTTTATATACCAGACTAACAACAGATGCGTTTCCCCTGCTCCAGATTTTACTACATTGACGGCACATCTATTTGCAGGAGGGAAATTAGGATTTTGGGTAGGGGTCTTTAGAAAGTCACGTCTTAAAGTATTTTAACTCTTGTCTAGTAATTCATCATTCAGTGTATGGATTCATAGCTAGTGGGTGAGACAAACATTAAACAAATGTTACACAAATCAATATCTTGGACTGGCTCAAAGGTCAGTCTCAGAACATCAATACAGCTAAAGTAAATATAAATGACTCCAAAAGCTTTGAAAACGAACGTAGGCCTTGACTCAATAACTTTGGAGGGGACAGAGAAGTGAGAATTCTATTAGTGAGATCGGTGGTGACCCTATACTTTTCTAAACATCCGTAAGACATACCTCTCTCTTCACAAAATCCATGTTTTATGGTCTCACTGTCTCCTTTCTTCCCCTCCACCTCCACAGCTCCATCCCACAGGCTTGATCTCTTCTCTTCATTCCTTCCCTCCCTGATCCTTTCATATGTAGGGCAATCTGCCCTGCTCCTGCTGGCTGCCACTCCTCTCTTCATTTCTTATGTAGTCCAGTCCAGCCCAACTGAGGTCAACCAGCTGGCTGGCAACGAAAGAATCCTTTCCTAAGGAGAGGATTTCAAATAATTGTAATACAATATTAATATTTCAGCCCTGTCAGACAAAAAAATAAAATTATCAAGTGTGATAAGTTCAATTATTATCTTAATTCTCTTCATGCTGCTTTTGTTTGTTAATTTGGAAGCAAGGATGAAAGGTGTAAAAGATGATTAATGCTTCCGAGAACAAATAGATGACTGTAGCCCACTTCTGTGTTGTACGAGCCCCCCCCCCCTTGTCTCTGGGTTAGACTAAGTCCTGCATTTCACAAGCTTCAACTGTGTTCACCTGGTAGTTAGGAAAAGGCAAGTGGACCCTATGGTCTCCATACTCTCCCTCAGTTCTTCCCAAAGTGTATGATGACCATATTTTATGAACTAAAAATCTGAATTTAGGATCCAACTCATGCTTTTACCACAAGGAAGGGCATGAAAAAAAATCATGATTTTCCTTTCTCCAAAAATACAGTAACTATAGCTGCCATGACCAGGCATATGTGCCAAGCCCTCAGTTCCCTTTGATGTTCTAGATGTAGCCTCAGAGAGATGAGTCGGTGGTCAGGCCTGCAGCCTGTGGATATAGGTCTAGATAAGCCATTTCCAAAGCTGACTGCTCAGCTCTGCTGAAGAAGACGTCAACTCAGACTCTCAGCACGTGTGCATCGTCAGAGAAGGCCCGGCTGCACCTCACTTACACGATGCATATATTTTTAATTATATAAACAATACACAAATATTTTATCTTTGTATAATATTTGAACAATATGCAGGATTTTAGAGTAAGAAGTGGAAGCTCCCCACCCCTCCTTCTCCCGCGCTCTCATTTCCTTCCCCAGAGGTAACCACTCCTTTCAATATATCATCTACTCGAATAGTTTTCCCTCTACCTTATTAGTAATGAAAGAAATGCAAATGAAAACAATTGGAAGTGATAATTTCTTTCTTATCATATATTCACTGCTACAAATGAATGAAAATATTCAGAATTGGCTAGGGCTTAGGAAGGAATTTTAAATGGGAGGCACTGTTCTGAAAATTAATTTGGTAATGTAAATGCATTTAGATTTTGTGTCAGTCAGGGTCAGTCAGGGAGGGGACTGAACACGTGCCAGTTATTTGAACAAGAAAAATTTAATCAAAAGAATTGTTAACTAGTGAAGGTGCTAAGACAACTCTGAAGGATCCAGAAGCAGCATATGCGAAAAAGAAGCTATTACTTCTAGGCTGGGGAAATCGGACAGTGAGGAATTAAGAACTAAGAGGTTTCCAACGTCCCCAGCCCAAGGCTGAGATTTAGATTTCTTTGAGGATCATGTGCCCACCACTGGAAAACCCAGCCATGGGTGGTGAAGCAACTTTCCATGTGGGAGGCCATGCTGATCTGTAGATGCACCTACGGGAAGGGGAGACAGCTGCCTGAGGCTATGGCCAGAGCTACTGTGGAAACAGCTACACTGTATGGGGAAGCGTGGCCCAGAGGGTATGGCTGAGATGGTCTGTGAGGGCTGCTGGGCTCCCATGCTGCATAGAAAAACGGAGGACTGGGACCAGGAGGGATGTGTCTTCCTGCCACCACTGGATTGCAGTGTCCCTCTGGTGCCTTCTGCTGAGAAAGCCTGTCATTATGACAACTGATAGAGGAGAAATGTTGGCAGGGTCCAGCTCCTGGTTCTCAAAGCAGGGGAAAGAAGGGTCAGTTGGGAGGTGAGAGGCAATAAATTGATAACTGGCACAGGCTTTGACTTCAGAATTCCATTTCTAAAAATTTAAGGAGATAATGAAAGGTGTACATAAGATTTAGATAAAGAATGGTTCTTGCCGTACGGAGAAAAAAGGAAACAAGCTCAGCGTTCAAAAATTAATAACTGCTCGGGCAAAATGTGGGCATCTACAAGGTGAAGCCAGGTTTATTCATTATTATATAATTAGGTGAAAAATGTGTGTTAATGGCTTTTATATTATAACTCATGAAAATTTATACATATATTTCTATGTACATGCACAGAAAAAACTTTGAAAGGTTTGGTGTCTTCTTTATCAGCTCCTTGGTCTAGTATATGGCTCATAGTTATTCTACAAATATTTACTGAACAAATGTCTTGTTTTAGCTTCCCAGGGCTGCTGTAACAAAGTGCCGCACACTTGGTAGCTTAGAACAACTGAAACTTATTCTCTCACCATTCTAAACACCTGCAGCCTGAACTCAAGGTCTCCCCTGGAGGCTCTAGGGGAGAATCCTGTCTTGCTTCCTCCAGATTCTGGGGGCTCCAGGCTTTCCTTGGCTTGTAGCCACATCCCTCCAAACTCTGCCTCATTTTTGCACGGATATTTCCCCTGCCTGTGGGTTTTCTTCCCCTTATAAGAAGTCTCTTCACTGGATTTAGGGCCTGCCAGATAATCCAGGATGATCTCATTTTGAGATCCTTAACATCATTACATGGGACATATCTTTTGAGGGGGTGGGTGAGCCCCATTCAACCCACTACCCGTATGTATAAATACATAGCAGCATTTTACAGCGGCTTCCTTGTGTGGTAGGACTGATAGATAACATGAATTTTGTGGGGTTTTTTCCCTTTCTTTTTTGCTTACCAGTATTTTTATGATTTTATATAAACATCTTTATATTCTTTTTGAAACAGAAAGTAAAAGAGTACTTGGCATATGAAAAAATGAAGGCTACCTTGAAACGTGCTGTTTTCATTGTCTTGAAGGTATGGTTGAGCCCACAGTTCACAAAAGTGCAAATAACTGTACCTGTTTAGAGAAGGAAACCGTAGAGAAAATAAAGAAGCTCAGGAGGAGGGGCCAATTCATCACACAAGACCTGTGTTCATTAATGCTCAAGGGCAGACCTGAAGAGGCGACCACAGGGAAGCTGGTAACCAGAAATCCACGCTCGGCCTCCCGGGCGGGAGCTGAGCAAACCTGCGCCTGGGCAGCCCCCTCCCGGGGCAGCGCCCGAGCCTGAGCGTCCCTGCAAACCTGGGGCCTGGGCAGCCCACTCCCGGGGCAGCGCCCGAGCCTGAGCGTCCTGCAAACCTGGGGCCTGGGCAGCCCACTCCCGGGGCAGGGGCCGAGCCTGAGCGTCCCTGCAAACCTGGGGCCTGGGCAGCCCCCTCCCGGGGCAGGGCCCGAGCCTGAGCGTCCCTGCAAACCTGGGGCCTGGGCAGCCCCCTCCCGGGGCAGCGCCCGAGCCTGAGCGTCCCCGCAAACCTGGGGCCTGGGCAGCCCCCTCCCGGGGCAGCGCCCGAGCCTGAGCGTCCTGCAAACCTGGGGCCTGGGCAGCCCACTCCCGGGGCAGGGGCCGAGCCTGAGCGTCCCTGCAAACCTGGGGCCTGGGCAGCCCCCTCCCGGGGCAGCGCCCGAGCCTGAGCGTCCCTGCAAACCTGGGGCCTGGGCAGCCCCCTCCCGGGGCAGCGCCCGAGCCTGAGCGTCCCTGCAAACCTGGGGCCTGGGCAGCCCCCTCCCGGGGCAGCGCCCGAGCCTGAGCGTCCCTGCAAACCTGGGGCCTGGGCAGCCCCCTCCCGGGGCAGCGCCCGAGCCTGAGCGTCCCTGCAAACCTGGGGCCTGGGCAGCCCCCTCCCGGGGCAGCGCCCGAGCCTGAGCGTCCCCGCAAACCTGGGGCCTGGGCAGCCCCCTCCCGGGGCAGCGCCCGAGCCTGAGCGTCCTGCAAACCTGGGGCCTGGGCAGCCCACTCCCGGGGCAGCGCCCGAGCCTGAGCGTCCCTGCAAACCTGGGGCCTGGGCAGCCCCCTCCCGGGGCAGCGCCCGAGCCTGAGCGTCCCCGCAAACCTGGGGCCTGGGCAGCCCCCTCCCGGGGCAGCGCCCGAGCCTGAGCGTCCTGCAAACCTGGGGCCTGGGCAGCCCACTCCCGGGGCAGGGGCCGAGCCTGAGCGTCCCTGCAAACCTGCGGCCTGGGCAGCCCACTCCCGGGGCAGCGCCCGAGCCTGAGCGTCCCTGCAAACCTGGGGCCTGGGCAGCCCCCTCCCGGGGCAGCGCCCGAGCCTGAGCGTCCCTGCAAACCTGGGGCCTGGGCAGCCCCCTCCCGGGGCAGCGCCCGAGCCTGAGCGTCCCTGCGCTGCCTCCCGCTGCAGACCCCTGCTCTCCGCCTCCTCGCTATCACGCTTTAATTCACTGAGGAATCCCTAGGAAGCTGTTGCTCCACGAACCTAGGAAGGTTATGACGTCAGAAGATCCAAGGATGAGA